AATACTCAGACCAGCCCTTCTGGCACCAACAATCATGCCACGTTCAAAGTCACTCAAATCACCTTTCTTCCCCATACTGATGCTCGGTTTGAACTGCAGGAGATTGTCTTGACCATGTCTACATGCCTAAATGCACTGAGTTGCCGCCATGTTAATTGGCTGCTTAGAAATTAAGGGTTAACGAGCAGTTGGACAGGTGTACCTAATAAAGTGGCCGGTGAGTGTAATATTGGCATTTTGTGAGGACAGAGTTAAGTAAAGCTTTGAAATGAGAACTCCCCAGAGACATAAAACATAAATAGAGAGCTATAGAGACTCACACTTGGAGAAAAAAGCTGAAATACTAATATCCTTAAACTTTTGTCACATCATAAATCAAATCCGTAACTTTCCTTTAATGTTGCTTTTATGTATTGAATTATCTATTGCTTTAGTTACAGCATCGGGAGTTGTTGTAGGCTATCCATGCCTAGGGTGATTTCGACCATCTTTTAAAAAAAACATGATGCCGCCTCTGCCATGTTATATTGTGAAGATAGTGTGTTTGGGTGATGAACAGTATTAGTTTTCTACTAGACAAAGCATTTTGCATTTGGACAAAAAGTTTGCTATCAACTGAACAATGCACCATCTTATTGAAAATTTCTAATGATTTTTTTAGTTTTTTTTTTAAACAATGAGTCTCTTATTTCAACTGTGCCATGAGGGGCAGGTTTGAGTTCTGCACAACTGACAGTTTTATGTTGACAGTCCGTTTCATGAAGTAGGCATAACAAATTAGGATTTTTTTTTTTTTTTTTTCTATGCACAAAAAATTTGACTATATCTGGAAATAAAACAGCTTGATTGTCTGTAAGGAGAGCAGAGACAGAGGACACTCTGAGTTTACTGAAGAAAACCTGCTACAGTCTAGGTTAGCTCTGGGGAGAATGTTACCACGGTGACTGAAATAAAGGTTGAGGAAACTCTCTTTGTGAAATGGAAAAGTCAGAGTTTCCCTGTTTTTAGGTTTAGACAACTTAGAGTTTTCAGTAAAGCTGTTCGTGAAACGGACCCCAGATAAATGTTCGTCTGGACTGTCAGTTAAGGTTGGCAGTCTTAGTAGGTTTGCTGTTGAGCCATGCTGTCAGACTGTGTAATAGATTATAGCTTTAGCATTGCTGAATGAGGTGTTTGAAGCTTACTAGCACTGCTTTAATGGGCCCATATACAAAATTCACATTATAAACATTTTGTAAAAGTCCTGTCACCTCTATAATTGCCTTTCTCCACCTATTAGCTAACGTGTGTTAAAAATCATCTGTTTGTAAAGCTTTCCTCTTATGATATCATAAGGGGAAATAGGCTGTCCAGAGTGTTCTATAGCATCCCATCGGTCTAGTTATGGCCTTCATCTATTATTCCATGCACCTAGCTGCTATCTTTAGAAACTCTGACTGGTTGTCATGGTTGCGGGTTTTGGGTTCACAGCCTTCAGGAAGATGGGGGCATGGAAAGCTGAAACAGCCCGCTAAGAATAGGAATAAATATGGAGTTTTTTGGGCCATACTGTCTGTCTAATCTGACAGGAAATTTCCTGCACAAATGACAAAAACATGCTCTGGGGGCCTCACTGTTAATATTTTTTTTATTTTCAAATGTAGAATAATATTGAACCTATAAAGAATATGCATTATTTTATAGTTTTCATGGTGTTAGTATTTCACCTAACAGTAACCCAAGTTTTACAGGAAAGTTTTTTTTAGAGAACATTACTAAAAAAAATATATCATCATAAAAATGAAGAGCTAATGTTGAATCTGGTGTTAGCAAGTTTCCTCTGATACCCCAAAATGCATTCCAGCAGAGACAGTTGATAGGTTGCATTTTGGGGTATCAAAGGAAAGAGGTCTGACTGCAGAGGTACACAAAACATTTTATTTGTATTTGTACCAAATTTTATTTACACCTCACTATTGTGTACTTACTTGTCCTTTCACATAAAATCACAAAAATAAATGACAATCTGTGTAATTTATGACAACGTCACATTTATTTATAATTTGTTCAAAATATGTAACAAGACAGTTGCATAATCATGCTGGAGCTATTACAATCTAGCCTGTCAAACGTAATATATCCCTTTTGTTTCCCCAGGGAGGCAGCCAGTAACTTCCTGACAGCTTTAAGTCTCCAGAGGAAGAGCCAGAGTGGCCAGCAGTCCAATCAGGTGATGTCTGGTAACATCTGGGCAGCTCTGAGGATAGCTTTATCCATGATGGACCAACCTGAACTCTTTCAGGCTGCAAACATTGGCGACCTGGATCTCCTGATACGGGCCTTTAACTTGGACATTTGAGAAATCAATGGAAGCGATGTTTGGGTGCGCTCCATCTTTTATCCTTTGATATCCAGCCAAAAGCCCAAAGTGCATGTGTTTGAGTCAACACCCAAGCATGTGTTCAGTTTCTACACTTCAAAATTAACTAAAAAGGTCAAATTATTTTTCCTGCTCTAAATTTCTTCTGAGCAGTTCAGAGGGCCGGCTCTTCCAAGGATTTGAATAGACTGCTTAGTGATTGAATTTGCACTGCAATTTGTGATTTCCCTAAAGAGCACAAGGACGGGCAAAGATTGTACGAGCAATGCCTTAGAGGACGCATCAATTAAAAACTGACTCATGCAGTGGAACTGAGGTGAGCCAGGAGTGACAGTCAGATTTAAGACTCCCTCAGAGCAACCCTCACAAGCCATTTGCAGCAGAGAAGAAGAGGCTTTTTCAGTGGAAGAACTGTTGACTCAGGACTGTCTGTATCTCTATCTGACAGATGGATCCAGTCAGGGAACAATAAAGGCTGCACCCTGTAACCCGAAGCTTCAGTTTGTCTTCCTGGCTTCAGCTCAACCTCTGTCAATTGTGACATAGTGTTCTGCAAAAAAAATAAATAAATAAAATAATAATAATTACTAGAAACCGATAGATCCAAAAGACTTATAGAAGTTTTCCCTTTGCACTTTTAGATAACTTACTCTGAGTGGAATGCGCAGTTGTAAAGCCTTACTAGGATGCATGTGTCCAACCTTATTTATTTACAATATTTTTACGGCAACAAGGAAGAAAATATATCTAAGCCATTTTCAGACCAGATTAAGATTTCCTAGCCAAAAGCTGATCTTATAACCAGTGAGATTTCCAATCAGCTAATATTAGTTTGGTTGTATCTATATTTATGCAGTTTGTGTGTAATATTTCTTTCCTTAATGCTGACTGGCTACAGGAATGTGCACAATGAGCGGGTTAATGATTATTTAAATAGTGTTTTTGAACTTCTCTCAGAGGGAAAAGTGATTATATTTCTAAAAATATATCTCTTCTCAGAAGCCCCAACAAAGAAAAGCCTAATTCCTATTTATGCTGACTGTATTCATTTTTAGAGCTCATATTTACATCAGATGAAAAGAGGTGCATTCACAGGCCAAGGACTGAGACAGCAGCTTGATGAATTTATTTAATTCAGTCATTTGTATCTCTGCTGCTCCCCCACCAGCAGTGAGGCTCATTCATTTCATTTAATCATTTACCCTCAGCCGACATGCAATATTTATGGAGCACTGCTTAAACTGTTGCACAGATTTGTTTGTTTGCTTTTACATTAATATGCATCCACAAAAAGAAAAAAATGATATTATGAATGAGTTAATGTTATTCATACTACCTAATAAATATTAAACAATGCAGTGAAGCTCCTGCTTATGATAAAATGCTTTTCAGCACCTCAGAGTATTTTCTATAAATGTGTTTTTTATTTTTTATATTTTAGTCTGCATATTTCGAAAGTAAGGTGAGCTTCATGCAGTTTGCCGTGCAGTAGACTGAACTGCTCACTTTAGTGTCTATCAGCCATGTCCACAGTCTGGGTGTGCTGCAGAAAGCTTTTTGTTTTTTTTGTCAGCTTCTATGCAAAAGGTCATGTTTCATGTTTGTCCCCATCTGCCTCAGTGGACCAAAGGGAAGTGTTGATTCTGTGTTTTGAATGAATGCTATCAGCGGGGACCAGAGACCAGCACCAGAACCATTCATCTTCCAAACAGTGCAGCTGGGATGACACACTTTGTGTTAGAAGGAGTGTTTTATCAGGCGGCTGAGCGAGAACAAACATGAACCAGCTGAAGTGCAGCATTGACACTCTGTCATATGGCATTGCATATGTGGCTGCAGCTGCACACACAGAATTCACAGCTGTACACATTTTTCTTCTAACAGTTTTCAGCTCGTTTTTGTCTTTGTTTGCAGAGGTCTTCATATCTGTCGCATTGCAGCTGCAACTTTGATTGTGTTTTATTGGAATTATATGTTGCACCATAAAAACATGTATTTATGTCCTTTTTTTTTATTAAATCAGAAAATAGTAATTAGAATGTGTTCCCAGTGCCCTGAAGTCAACCAGGTTTCTATGTGTAACCATCTTTTGGCATTTTCTTTTTGCCAGCTTAATATTTGCTAGAGATTGAGCTTTCTTACAATTTTCCTTAGCAAAATAGCTCAGGATCAACCTGGTTGAATGAAGAGCATCTGTAAAAAGCAACTTTAAGTCTTGCAAGAGGTGGGTTTGGTCTTTAACTAGGCCATTCTGGTGCAGAACTGTGTAAACCCAGTCCACTGTAGCTGTTGTGGTATTTTTACCATGATCTGTTTTTAGGATTGCCTTGTATTAAGGTCCTATTCACTCCGTAGAAACCTCCTCATATCCTGATGCTAACAGCTGCTTTTTTTTTTAGCAGGATTAGTTTAAAAGTATTGGGGTTTTATTGCATGTTGAATATCTTCCTCCAGGTTTTTCAGTTGCTCTCAACATGTGACTTCCTGTGTCTTTCTTTCAGTGTGACTTTCATTGTTGAAACTCCTCAGTATGGGCCAGATTGAGGGCATCACTAATACTTGTGGCAGTAACAGACTCTCCAACCTGAGCAAGGAATCTCTTGCTCCTCTAGAATCATAAGGGATGCTTATGATTGCTGCTTCTAATGCTAATGCTCTTCTTATTTGGCCCATTAGGTAGATTACCATTCCTTGGTAGCTTTGCAGTTCTGCCAAACTCTTTTACTTTTTGGATGATGTAATGAGCAGGGCTCCACAAGATGTTCTAAACTTATTTATAACCTAAGCCTGCTTTGAATATTTTTACCTCACCCCTGATCTTCAAGGCCTACACAGAGCAGGTAAACGCTATTTAGTGATTTGGTAACTTTGCAAGCAAACTGGTTGCACTGGATTATTTCAGGTACAGTGTACTGAAGGCTTCGTGCCTTTTTTTTGTGATCTGAATTTGTGGAGAAATAAAACCACATGTTCTGTTTATTATTCTTCACCAACAGTACTATGCGTTGTGTTATAAAATCAGCATTAAATTCAGTGAACTTTGTGGTTATAGTGTACTTTTCAAGAAGTATGAATATTTTTGCAAGCCACTGTTGTCATTACCACTTAAAGACCATTCAGATTTCATGCAAAAAGAAAAAAATATATCTATTACAAAATGTTCATGGGCCAACAAAGGTTGTTTTTGTTTTATTTTTTTAATCAGGAAATCACTATAGTTGGATAATGCTAAACTTCTCTCTCCCTATCTGGATTCATATCAAATAAAACTCAAAGGTTTTGAAGCCTTTGGATTTAATGTTGCATGTTTTATACTGTACTTGACACAGGTATTGCAGCAGTCTTTTTTTGGGAGCACACTAACTGCTAGGTTTCTAAATGCCAGTTCTGTTAACACAGGTTATTACTATTGTGACAGGTGTCTGGTTTATTTTAGATCATCTAGTGTTTGTTTCTACATTAAGGTTACCTACTAACTGCAGCAGTTAAGAAGATCATTAGCAGTTACTAGTGCACTACAAAACTATATACATGTACTACTGTTATTAGTTTTCTTTTTATCGCTGTTTCATGCAACTTTCTTTTGCTTCTAAAATCATCCACAAACTGAATTATTCTCACTGAATTCTCCTAAACAGCCTGAAATGTTACACATTTTCTTTATTTAGAGCCTCTCTTCCTTCATTCATTCAATTCATCATGAGATAAATTTACCTAGTGCTTTATTAGATAAGTTTGGTACAGCCTGCTTATGAATCAAAAAAACACTTCCAGCCTTTGGACCATTTTGTCAAAAGAGCTAATGGTTTATACACAGAGAAAATGATTCTTTAAATTAATTCTACTGTTTTTTTTTTATTACTATTATTTATTTTAATATATGAACTTGTAAGTTACCTTACTATAAAATAATATACAGGTCTAGGGATGTGCACGTGAAGAGAAAGGTTCATGTTGCAAGTTCTCCCTGGGAAATTATCCAAAAGGATCACAGATGTCATTGGCTAGCTTTAGTTGCCTTTTTTATCTGGATATATTGTATATAAAAAAAGAAAGTATACACTTCCAGCACTCAAATGAAATGTTTTCACTGGTGATTCTATCGACATGCATCAACTAACATTGTGGTTGTTGAACAGAGAATAGAGTTCTAGACAGTCCTCTGTCCACCTTCATACCATGTCTGATATTTAATAACTTTTAGTTACTTTATGCAAAGGGAAACCATTTTCTTTATAATTATTTTATAACCACTACCTGTTTCTGTTTGTCATATTTGTTGACAAAAACTGTTAAAAAAACATGAGGTCTATAGTGTTTTTGTTGGTTTTCAGATCTGTTCTAAATTTCTTTTTGGTTTTTTTCTTTCTAGGTTTTCACTTTTTGATCCTGTAAATTAAGTTTGTAAAAACTAACTATGTTCTCAGGTGAACTGAAGTAGCATAGCGCATGCTCCTGAGGGAAATCATCAGGCTGATAGCATGTTAGTTATGGCACAGAATTATACTTCATTTTAATGCATGTAAATCCTCACTTTTGCTATCACTAATATATATATATATAAAAAACATCTTCAACACATGAGGAGGTTCCCTTTCAATATTTCTACAGTGTACTGCAACTTTATCATTAAAACAATATTTATATATTTAGTATTTATTAAACACAAGGTATGGTTTGTGGCATAAAAGATAAACTGTGCAGGGTGCATTTGGGACCAAAAAAACAATGAGAATAAAGAAAACAATTCAGCTTTATTTAAAAAATATTAAATATGGTAGTGATCATAGAGATCACCTTCTCTTTTAAATTATAATACTGATAAAAAGCTGGAAGTGGTTGTGTTTACCACTTGCTATTTAGTTTTCACTGACATTTTCCTATCTTGCTATGTTTGCTAGCATAACTAAAACTCTTATTTTCTTTATATGAAGTTTGCATGTTGTTTATTAGCTGCCCCCATTTTGTATAGTGCAAGCTTTTTGGGGACAAAGGGTGTAATTCACTATTGAACTGATGTCAGTTTCTGTTTTTGTTGCTGATTTTCTCCTTTTTTTTCCTACTTATTGCCTGTATGCAGTATATGATTGAGCCCAAGTGCTAAAAAATAACTACTGACTGAATTTGACCTTAACAGAAGTCATACGTCAGCTGTTGGAGCCACTTGAACCCTTTATGCATGGTGTAGCATAAGTTCCACATGTTATTGTTTCATTGCTGCAACATTTGGGTTGTATTTGTGTTAATGTTGTAGCAGTAGTGCCTATGCCTGATGTATACGGATGACATTTCGAAGTTGGAATGCTCTTGTAAAAACTCGAGAGCAAATCAAATTTAACATTAGTGTATCAGTTGAGAAGAAAGGAACATTTTAAACCCAATGTTTGAAAAAGTAAAGGCAGGGATTCAGCAGTAGGATGGTTATAGGGAATGTAATTGTTCTAAATGTAAAGTATTTCTAACCAATTCATTGAAACTATTTAAAATAGCTGCTTATATTTAAAACTATAACCATTTTTTTCTGGAATACAATTTGACTTAAAAATAGTACTTTCAAATACCTTATAATAATTGTTTTCATTTAAAGCGCAAAACTTCTTACAAGACTGGTTACTTTAAAAACAAATTGACAAAAAAAATAGATTGAATCCAAAAAGATTTTTTTTATTACATTATACATTTTCTTTGATTTTTTTTTTTAAGACTCTGTGGTATTTCATGTCTCCAAAAATGGTTAGAACACATTTGGATGCTTGCAGATGTAATAATATATATGCTGGCGTTGTTGCTGCGTAACTTTATAGCATTTAAAACACTTTTTAAAGCTGCTTATAGGTCGGGGCTCAAGAATATCATTAATCCCCACTGTTTACAGTTGTTTTTTTGTTTATGGCAAAATGTATAGAAACTGTGTATTTTAGCTAATTTGATAGAAGCATCCCACATGAATGAATAAAACTATATTTTGATGAATGAAACTAGAATTGATATACTTTCTATACGTCCAAATATTTATTGAGTCACATAATCTAATTCTTATTACTCGACTTGTATAATCACAAGAAAAGCTTTAGCAACTTTAAATTAAGAAGTTATGGAAGTGATCTTTTAAAATAAACTATTGTTACATATTCTCTGCTTGTGTGTCTTTCTTTGGGAGACTCCACTGCCTATGCTGATGATGTACAACTTTAAATTTCATTGCTACCACTTGACCATAGTATCCTGCAATCACTGAGCTAGTGTGTCCAAAAGCATTCATTAGTTTATGGGTCTGAATTCAGGATTTGAGGTTAGAAACAGGAATCTGAATGACTGCATGACAAGCCCATGACAACGGACCAATCAAAAAAATCCTTGATGCTTACACTGACTTGCATAAGTTTCAATAACAAAATTCAAGTTTATTGATATAAAAAAAGTGCTAGGATAAAGGGTATCTTAAAAAAAAGAAAAGCTAAAATTAATGTACTGGTGCATGCACCTACAGGTTTTAATAAAAGATATCAGGCGGCAGCAGCAGCTCCTTCAATATGCAGCTACCAGAGTGCTGAGCATTCTCTAGTACTTTAACCACTACCCTGGTGTCTGATTAAAAAGTCAAAATTTGTTTTATTTTAATTAAGGCATTGTTTTTTGTTGTTTTTTTTTTGTTTGTTTTTTTTTGCAATACTCTGCATTTTTTATGTGGATTTGATTCTTTTCTAACTCAAATTACACTCTGTGTAAAATGTGGTTTCTTTTAAAACTTCCTTGTCTTTATTAAAACAATGAAAGAAAATCCTCAGATGAGAAATTGCAGGTTTATAAAAAAAATAAATAAAATATAACATGTTTCAACAAATGTGTTTATTAAATTACCCAAACATAAAGTAAACAGTGCCACTAGATATACTGTTCGGTATTTACGTACATTGAAGGCATATTAGAATTAAAGGCTAGATTACAAAAGTCAACCTAAAACAATCCCATCTGAAAAACTATTGAGAACTAAAGAAATGGCACAAATCTTTTTGAAAAAAAAAGGCAGCAGAGAGAAAAAAAAAGGGTAGAACATGTTTGACATTTAGGCAAATGAAAAAGAGTAAAACCTGCAAATGTACCATTGTACAAGCCAAATAACTACATGTAGTGCACATGCTGAATGTGAAACTTTTTTTTGTAACAAATTGAACAAAGACTAAAACAGACTGAGCAGAGGGAAAGCTGAAACGAAATAAGATCTCCCAAAAGAAAATGTCTAACCAGGAAGGCCTGTGAAAAAGAAGGACCAGCAAAATCACAAAAAATTTACAGACGTGGACATTTTTAGAACAGACTGCAGCAAAGCCAGACAAACACCTCATCAGTCATCAGCTGATGATGAGCAGCAAAAACGCAGGACTTGCATAGAGACTTTTAGTAATATTTCCTGCGGCAAATACAGGAAACACAGCAGCCGTTAATCGAGAAGATGAAATTTGAGTCAGGATTTAGGCACGGTGTTGTTAAAGAGGAGCACAGTGGAACATAAGGTTTATCATTTTAACTAGTTGGCTAAAATATGATTAGAAATGAATCCATATTTTGCCATTTTGCTGCTTTTTGTCATAACTTTATCATATTACAGTTACCAGCTTTAATGGTTTATGGATTTTTATGATAAATAACTTAACATTGATTAGTTAGTATCTGTTTTATCATGGAAACTAACATGTCAGCAATGAACAGCTGGACTTGATGTTTGATGGACAAAAAAAAGTTTAGAAACCACAGAGGTCCTCTTTAAAAAGAAAAGTTGAAAGTGAATTACTGCAGTGGTTCCGAAGCATTTCTGCTTCTCACTCTCGGGGTGGAAAAAAAAATAATTGTAACAGATTACAGGTCAAGTATAAATTCTTTACTAGTTTGTCAAAAAAGAGGAGCATACTGACACAATATACTGTCCTTACCAGTTTTATTCATTGTTTATTATTATTATTATTATTATTATTTCTACTTTAAATTCTAAAAAGAATATAAAGATGTCACCCATCCAGTTCCACTGGGTTACCACATAACATTTCAATGGACAAAATAACTGCCACCACTATCTGGCATTGTCTTCTGTTGAGATGCATCCACTAAAACCAGTTTCTATTCCAGTTAACTAATTGGCAACCAATAGCACAGATTCACTGGGTTAAAAACAACCCAAAAAAAAACTTATAATGTAAAATAATGATTTTTTTTTTTTCTTAAGATAAAGAAAAAAAATTACAATTATTCCTGCTCCTGCTAACATAAGAATATTGATAAAAAAAAAAAGTGATCACTAAATACAGCTACTACTAAATTCTGAATTTAGTGGTAGTTGCCAAATGTGGAATATTAAACCATCCTACTGTTCTGCTCTTTAAAGAGTCTTCTAAGTAAAACAAGCTGATATTAGCTTGCCAAAAAAAAAAAAAAAAGTAATGGTTGCTTTATATTCATTTTACACTAAAGCTGAAACTGCAATGGCAGTCAGGATGCTGCAACAAGTGGGGGAGGGGAGATAAACCAGTTTTTTCTCTTCCATTAAAATAAAATCACTTGAAACTGATAAAGTAAAGTTAACATTCTTTGACCTCTTGGTTTATACAAGTAACTCACCCATAGCAAACTATGAAATGAAAAACAAGCGATCTGAGCACCAGGTTTGATATGATTGACAGAAACCAAAAGAACAGCCCTCAATGCATCCTGAATATTGAATGCATCCTAATGAGATTAAAAAAAAAAAAAAACAGTAGATTGAATGATTTTTTTATAGGTTAGTGGGTTTTAGAAAGCAGGTTCTGTTTCACAATAAGCACCATAAAGTTTTTACATTCTGCAATGCACAAGCATGTGCAGCGCTTAACAGCAGAGAATACAGATCAGTATGCAGCTTTCGGATCAGCTCTGCCGTTCAGTTTTAGTGCATATTGCTCCAGACAAGTATTCCAAAAAAATATGAAGCAAGAATCCTGAAAGGTGGCAACAAGTGAACGAAACATTCATTTTACCTTTTTGGGTCACAGTCTGAATCTGTCAGCGTGATGAAAGAACCAAACTGCAGCAGGTGCAGCTAAGTTCAATTTTGCAGAGAAAGCAAAAATTTTGCAATTTGGGCAAAAAAAAAAAAGAAAAAAAAGCTTACTAAGGTCACAAAAAGAACTCTTGTAGAAGCACGGACCTAACACTAACTTAAATAAATTAACACATGCTATAGTCAGTCATTTGAAATGAAATACTGCTGCGGTATAAGAAGTCATTTAACTAAAATTTAAGATTTCACATTCACTAGAATATATCGGTGAACAGACATGTTACTCCACTTCATCTGCATTAAGTGCAGAATATAACACGCTTTATATTTGAAAGTGCTTTTGGATAATTAGTTTTTATATGTCACCACAGGAGAGACAGATTTGTTAGTGAAAGTGAAAACCACAATTTGTTTGCAGTTTTCTGGGGAAGTTTTCAGTTATACTGTATATTTACAGTTGGAGTAACACAAACCTTTCTGGTAGTTTTTTTTTTTTTTTTTACATTTAGGAACTTAAACTGTGTTTTTGGGGGGATTTCTTTTTAACATCCAAAGTGACCCCAAAGACAAAATATCAATTTTATTTTAAAACAAAATGCAAAGCCACGAGCGGTACACTGATAACTAATCTTTTGATACAGGTTCTGAGCATTTATGGGCTGGTAGTGAAGCACTGCCCTCTCAGCACACATTTATAAAATGTAGCGCTCTGAAAGTACGACACAGCAGCAGAGAGGAGGAAAGGCCTGATCTGATATGTTGCTTCATTTTGTTTCCAGAGAACTCCAGAATTAAAAATTGCACGCATCCCTGTGTACCTACACATTTTCCCTTCTTTTAACATCAACAAAAATAAAATCTACATTTAAAGCATAAACATAAATGCACAAAAAAAGCCCACCACTGTCCTTTTGGGACCTGTACTCCTGGTCACTCCTGTGTGAGATGATGATGATGATAAGGCAAGACGCTGATCTGTGAGGTTTCTTCCATCGTTTCCGCTGTCGTTGCAGGTGTCTGCCAGTCTTTGGAGGTAAAAGACTGAAGGTATTTAAAGGTTGTAGGGAGGCAGTGGCTTTAACTGCTCGAAAGACGGTGGTAAAAGTAGACGTAGCCCAAGTCTTTTGGAGGTCGTTCTGACAAACAAACCTTGTGGTCGTTGTAGATTACCCACCTGAATGAACAGGAAAAACAAAGGGTTAATTATACACAATCTCGCTTAAGAGCCATTCTGCAACAACGGGTAGAGGGATTACAAAATAAAGGTTTGTTGCTAAAGCAAAAAGAGTGAATTATAGTATCAAATTGTTTAAAATGGAATGTATGTTCTTTTTTTGATGCAAGCTCCCGCTATAACTCACCTTCCCTCTTTTTTGATGTGACAAACATAATGTCCAGACATGGTGGAGGCTCCCATGTGGCTGATAAAGGCAAAGAGCTCATAACCTTGAGGGAAGAAAAGCCAAAAACAAGATAAGAAACAAACTAACATGGAACTGTTCCATAATGTCAAAAAGTAAAGGCATTTTGAGATTCATGTCAGATTTACTTGGATTCCAAATT